GCGTTTCTGTACTAATGATGAAATGATGATTGGTTGAGGCCCACTCCCAAGGGTGTTAATTATCTCCACTTCCAACCTGCTGTGCTTGTGGAGAAAACCTTCAGGCAAAGACATGCCCTTTCAGCTCTGCCATCATAAGGCCTGAGGGGATCTGTCTGCTACAATGAGCCATTAAGTAGTAGTTATCCTACTCGCAGTTTTCAGAACACTGGACATGTTGTTTGACCAAGAAGTTCTGGTGCCAAGCAAGTGTAAGGAATGCTCAGTAGGTGGCTGTCCTCAGGGATTTTCCACTAAAGCTCTATTGATGTCCTGCAGTTGTGATGCCAAACTTTTTCTAATCCTGTGATTTCCAGACTTACATTTTTATACAATATGTAAACTATTAAGGAATGAAAAGTTTCTGATATATGCTTTGGGGATTATCAATTCTGGCTAATAGAGATGTGACTGTCAAGTAAAGATGTTTTTAAACTGCTCACCACTGTAGCCCCGGAACAGTGTCTGGCACAGAGAAAGTTTTCAATCAATGTTTGTTGTTGCAACAGAGTCTTACAGCAATTTCATAATGGCATCTGAAAAATATGTTCAGTAAAACAAGTCTCATGATAAATAACTGTATAGTCCCTAAAATGACTGTTTTGAAAGACTCTGAAAGAAAATTCAGCTGAACATATACACACTTGTTGAGATATTGGCCAAAACATGTCTTATTTTCCTGGCTTTGTTCCCATCCACCTAAAAGAAACAGTAGACTTTTCTGTAAAAAGAGGACCTGTGCTTTTAGAATAGTGTCTACTTCGGAGGGGGAGAACCACTTCCTCCCCATATCCGTGTGAGAATGCAGATCAGGGACCGAATGGGACTAATGTCCCTCTGGTCCAACTTGGCTACAAAGAGCGTTTCAGCTTCTATTTCCTCCCCCTGTACTTCCTCCTTTTGTTGAATGCTGAGGATTGCAGCTGTGACCCCACTAATGGGTGAAAAAAAATCATCTTCCTTATCTTGATGCCAGGTAGAGCTAGCAATTTGTTGGCCTCAAATGTCAGCTGGGACCAGGGTGAGTCCTTGTCACTCTTTCTCACCCTCTATCAAGACCTAAGACATTTCTGAGCCTGAGTTGCTTCCTCTGCAACAAATTGTACATGAGAAGTAGGATTTGCAAACACAGGCTTTTCTCTCTAGATCACTGCTCCATCTGTGCATCGGTGCTGTTTTCTTCCCAACAGTTGTGAGAATGGCCGCATCGCTGTTTGTTGGTCATTATTACAAGGAAAGGTTTGAAACCCTAATTATCACTCATTCTTTGGAGCTGAGATGGAGGCCTGGGGGCTGTAAAATGAGTTTAATCGCCTGCTTGATTAGCCATTTGTGTACCCAAATGCCTATTTCTTGAGAAGGAATAGTTCCTAGAAAACTGCTTATTTTCCTAGCATCTGTAAAAGGCAGGAGCTGGAACCCAGTAGCCTTCTCTTCACACCCTACAAATAGAAATGCTGGCATTTCTAGGTAAGAGTGAGGAGACATGACTGTGACCACCTAGGCTCTCATGGGCTAAGTCTCCCTTGGTCTTCCTTGGAGAATGATAATGTAGGTCTTGGAAGAGCCTGTAAAGACAATCTGCCCACACCCGATAACCCAGTGAGTGGGTTGTTACAGTGCTGAGAGGGCGGTAGGGGTCACTTGGAGCCATGCAGGTAGGTAACCAACGTGGATGAAACACAATGACAATGGGCAGAGTATTTCTGAGACCAGATTTATTTGGAAAATGAGGTCTGTTGCCTTTCTTTGGTCTGAAGTTGAACTGGCTACTGCTTACTGGTGACCCTTATTTGTCATTTATTCATTTGTCTTCCTCATTCTCTCCTCACTGAAAAACCCCTGGAGAGAAACGATACAGTCTTCTAATGCCCTTTTGCTGTTTGTTTTCTGTTTCCTCTGTGTTTTGGTTCACCTCAAGTTCAAGAATAATGTCTGCATTTTTCTAGGAAATGGTAGCTTTCACAATCTGTGAATGGAGAGGGAGAAGGGATAATTATTTTGAGAGCCATGGGCACCTTCTTAATGACTAGGGCGGAAGAGGTGAGGCATTCGGATTCAGAAATAGCTGTAGGATGGAATGCCAATTCCTTTACCATCAGAAATTTTTTTCATGCCATTTTACTGATAGCCAGCTATAAAAAAAAATGCTATGTTCTTAATCATCATGTTACACTGCCCTTAACTAAGGCTTTCAGATTATTTCATTCTTGAGGTTTAGCCTGATTATTTCTTTACAATGTTCTCCAGGGTTAAGTGCACTAACATGGGACCCAGAGCTTCAAAGCAAACACATGTAGTACAAATCCAGCTGTGACAATTTCCTAAATTTGTTTCACGAGTTTATCAGAATGTGGCTGGAGATCAGTTTCTGGAGTCAGACCTGTGTTCAGATCCCTGCCTCTTAACTCTGTGGCCTTGGGAAAGTTACTAAAACTCTCTGGGTCTTTTTTCCCTCATCTAGAAAAGGAAATTAATAATGCCAAATTTATGGGGCTGTAACATTAGCAATAATGTGACCAGTAAATCACAACCTTCCTCAATTTCTCATTCCCTTCAGATTATATTCTCTCTCTTCCCCACTTCATAGCCAAACTTGCTGAAAGAATTGTCTCCATGTGTTGCTCAGTTTCCTTCCCTCTTCCTCTCCTCTTCAACCTGCTCCAATCTATTTTCTGTTCCAAACCTGAACGCATGTTCTTTGTCCCCAAATTTAATGTTCTCTTCTCACCTCCCTTATTGTAGTGACTGGCACGGCCATCTTATCCATTGATGCATTCATCATGCTTCCCTCTCTCTTTGTATTCAATCTGTTTCTAAATTCTGACCATTTTACGTCTAAATAGCTCATAAATCCAGCCTCTCCTCTCCATCTCCATGGCCACCATCATCATTTGCCTGGTTTACCGCAAGAGATTCTACGTGGTCTGCTCCCATTCACCCCACCACCTATCCACTCACTCCCCCAACACCAGTGCCTCTCTCCTTTGGGATGAGTTTTCTTTGTTTATTTGACCACTTGGTAAATTCCAGCCTCCCCCACTGAGCTCCCTGAGGTCAGAAATGTGCTTACCAATCTATTCTCCATGCCTAGCACCAAGCCCAGCATGCAGTGAGGGCTAAGTCAATATTTGTGGAGTGAATAAAGCATCTGCCATGTAACATATACTCCTTGAATGGGACTTCCCATTGCTGTCATTGTCGTTGTCATCATCACCATCATCACCAGGTGATATTTTTACAGAAATCCTTTCTTCTTCAGATTATAGCTATTTGAACATTAGTGACTTTAGATCTGGCTGTCCTAGGGACGTTCTTTGACTCTTTGCATTTGACACTAGCACACTCAGAATTTTCATTGGTCTAACACACAGACAAAAATGTATAAGAATTTCAGAGATAGCTTTTAAAAAACAAACAGCTCACGGTTTCTGTGTCAGGAATGGGATGTGGGGAGCATGGCTGGGCCTTCTGGATTAGGGTCTCTCACTGGCTGCTGTTGAGTTATGTCAAGGCTCAAATTGGGGGAGGACCTGCTCCCAAGCTCTCTCGTGTGGCTGTTGGCAGGCCTCAGGCTCTCACTGGCTGTTGGTTGGACATCAAGTCTTGGCCACATGGGCTGCTCTCTAGGGCTTCTCACAGCATTGCAGCTTGCTTCCCCCAGGGGACTCTGCGAGAGAGGGAGACATGGGGAGCAAGAAGGAAGGCACAGCCATTTGGTAACTTAACCTTAGGAGTGATATCCCGTCACTTTTATGGTCTTCTGTTCATTAGAAACGAGACACTGGATTCATCCCACATTGAAGGAGAGGGAATTACACAGTGAGGTGAATACCAGGAGGTGAGGATCATCGGGGGTCGTCTTAGATAGAAGCTGCCTGATACACGGGGTGACTTCCTTCTCTGTAAGCAAGAGCATGGCTTTCACTTGATTCTTTTAAGCCTGGTCCTCTTTGGGAATCATGGGTAGCATGCCCATCAGGGCCTCAATGCCTTGCCACACTGCTCTTTCAAAAAAAAGAGGAAAGATGGAAAGGGGGGGGCAGGTTCTGCTAAAAATAGCTCCTAATATAAAAACTGTTTCAGTTGTCATCACACGTTGTGCATTAAAACTTAATCATGGGAAGGACCCCAATTATTCCTGTTGGCTTGTCTGAGCATCAGTTTCCTGATGACTTACTTTATAGCTTCCTAATGAATATATTAAAAATAGAACTCTAGAGATAATAGATACAAAAGGTGTATATTTAGATGTTGGGTTTCTTCCCCTCCCTTCACCCACACTCCACTTTGCACAGAGGTTTTAGTGTTAATCTGAGATTTTTCTGAAACTTTATCTACTTTCTCTTAATGTACATATGCCCAATATTTGCCATCTAATTTTTTAAATATGTTTTTATTGATTTCAGAGAGAGGGGAGGAGAGAGAGACGGAAACATCAATGATAAGAGAGTCATTGATCGGCTGCCTCCTGCACACCTCCTTCTGAGGATCGAGCCCACAACCTGGGCACATGCCGTGACCAGGAATCAAACTGAGACCTTCTGGGCCATGGGTCCAAGCTCAACNTACCTCCTTCTGAGGATCGAGCCCACAACCTGGGCACATGCTGTGACCAGGAATCAAACTGAGACCTTCTGGGCCATGGGTCCAAGCTCAACCACTGAGCCATACCAGCCCGGCTGCCATCTAATTTTGATATAAATCCCTCCGCAACAATTAAATCACCTCCTAATTGACCGAATTATCTGTAATTCATCACACATCCTTTTATATCACACACCATAAGAGGAAAAAGGGGAAAAAACCTATACTTAGGAGAAGCTCATGGAAAACCCTTGGAAAATGAATGGACATAGACATCATCATTTCAGGCTGTGAATGCAGAATTTTGCAGAGGAAGGATTAAAAGTAGACCTGCAGCTATATGGCCACTCTCCCCTTTTGTTTCCTCTGTGCAGATCGTTTCCCAGAGGAAGCTGTCCAAATCCTTGCTGAAGCACGGGAACACTGCGGGGAAGTCCTCCATCACGGTAAGCCCCCTGCGCGGCCCCCTGCCAGGCCCAGGGGGCGCAGGCCCGGTGTCTGTTGGCAGTTGATGCCACAGTTGCTCGACTGTCCAAGCCACCTGTTTCTTTTTCTTGTTTCTCCATCTGCCAATACCATTTTAACCTTTTCAGCCCTATGGAAAAGGGGTATAAAAAAAGGATCTGAAAGTGGAGCCATGTACTTTTATAAGCACTTCTGCGACTGCAAGATAGGTTTCAGAGGGGGACAGAGACAGAGTTGTCGAGCTCAGTAAAAATGCGGAATTGTGTGCAGTTTTCAAATCATCAAAACTACCTATCGCTGCCTCTCATTTTTCTGAGAATTGAAAGTTGGCTCTAATCACTTTTAGTCCAAGGTTTGATGTGTTGCCTAAGGACCAGCATTTAACTCTCTTCTTTAATATAATAGTTTGGAGCTATGCTGTCCTATTTGGTAGTCACTAGGCACATATGATTATTTAAGTTTAAGGAAAATTATTTAAAATTAAATAAAAGCAGATATTCATTGCTTAATCCCATAAGCCACATATGAAGTGCTCAATAGTTACAAGTGGCAAGCAGCTACTATTTTGAACAGTGCCTATTATAGAAACTTTCTGTGACTGCAGAAAGTTCTATGGGCAATGCTGGAAGTGCTTCTAAATAAAATCGTAAATTTTCCTATATTTGAAACGTTGACATCTTTTCTTATATTGGAAACGTTGACATATTAGAGAGCCTTTGAGAAAGGTAGAGAAAGTAATCTAACCAGTTAGATGTGTGGACCAAAAAAAAATAAAAGGTAGGAAAAAGTACCAGGAGAATCTAAATTGCTAGGGAGGAAAATTACCAGGAGGCAAACCTCCTGAGCTTCTTTGAACATTTCTTTTAAACTTGAAAGTGACTGGTTTATTTTTGTAAATAATAACTTCCATCATTTTTCCAAAGGTGTCTATAAGCCACTTTTTAAAGGAAAAATTCAGAGGAATTCCTGCTGGTAAAAGTTATGACCATTCTTACAATCATTTACCTGAATCTGTTGCTTAAATATTTGAAACGATGCAGCCATGTCAAAGCTTTTTCTTGACTGCCATGTTCAGTCATAACAATGGTTCGAGTGGCTTTGAAGACCCTATGGGTGCTCCCAAAAGCCATGGACCCAAAGGCTCACTCCCAAAGCCCACTAACCCAGAGAAGCCTTGAGTGGTAGATCCAGGTGTGAGTCTTGTCCTGGCTCTTTCTCCTGGAAACAAAACCTCACCTTGCCACCTTTTCTCTACGACATCTTGGAGATTTCCTTCCTACACACATTCCAAAGAAACTTTATCTCCTTAATTTTAAATATTTATATACTCCTTCTAATCTTGGGTCTTTGGATCAAAACAATGGCTCTATTAGCTTTTGGAAAACACTTGAAAATATGTGCAAAACTTTTCAAGGCTTCTGCAGATGAAGATTATAAATTTCATCATCTTTCCAAATGTGCCTGTGACCACAAAACAGTTCAAAGACCACTGCTCATGTGGAGTATAAAGAGGCATGCAGGTGATAAGGTACCAAAGAGGACCAAATGGAAAGTCTAAATAGGATGGTTTCTAGTGTACCAAGAAGTTCTCGAGTTTTCACTGTTTATCTGGACTCGGTGTTTCCTACTTAGGTGCTCATAGGTTTGGGGGTGATTTTCCTCATTAGGCAAACTTTTTGGCTGTAATGCTAGGTGCAAAATAAAATTTTCCGGAGGCTACCAGTATAGAACCAACTCATAATGGGAAAGTTGAGCTCAGATAGAGCGGAGATATAATTGAGGGTATTCACATACTACGGCCTTTGAATGGTAAAGTCCTAAACATTAATTATAAATGGTTGAACTTGTCTGCAACTAGACTGGTCCCTAAATTTTTGTTACTGTTTTTCTCCTAAGTTTTCCTACCAATTTCTGCTCCAAGGTTTTGAGAGTCACTAACTATTAATTATTGAAAAGTGACTTATTATGAAAGAAGCTCTTAAATAATATTATATTTTCACTTATACCAAAATCTTTGTCAGGAATTCTACTCTTGAGGGCTTAGATCTCTCTCTCTCCCTCTCCCTCTCTCTCCTTCTCCCTCTCTTTCTGTCTCTCTCTCTCTCTCTCTCTTCTCATCTCAGAAAGCCCTGGAGAGTCTTTTTTGAAAAATAGGAATTAGAACATTTTTCCAATGGCCTTACAATCATTGGTCTAGAAAGGACACAGAGGCTGGTTTATCTCCCCCATCCCTTGTGGGTCTGACTCAAAGTAGTGGAGAAATGTTACTGCTCCTCCTTATTTGCAACTTTCCAAAGTGGGGGGGAAGGGAAATATAAATATATATATAATTATTTATGGGCATGTCATCCAATGCTGTGTGGCACATAAAGAAAAAAAATCTTCCTAACTGCTGCTCCAAATGTCCCCTCTTCCAGCCTACGGCCTGTCTCTTGTGTTCTCGTGCTCAGCAGAAATGAAATCTGATCACCTACCATTGTCTATTCTAGGGAGTTGCCTTGAACACCTGGAAATGCTGTCCCTTGTTCACTAGCGTTGTAGAAAACTCCTTTCCCAACATCAGTCTTTGTTGATTTTTGAGCCAAATATGAGCTAAATTTGTTCATGAACTCCCGGGCTGAGTGATCCAACCATTACTGCAGCTGATTCTTGCCTTTTCCTTTAGGTGATTGCTGAAGAATTATCTGGCAATGACGACTATGTTGAACTTGCATTCAATGCACGGAAATTGGATGACAAGGTAAAGTGTTTGGCATTAACCTCATTGAAGGAAGTAATAAAGCCAGCACACAAAGTTTAATCAGATTTTCCCCTGCAGCTCTTTTTTTCTTTTCAACCCATATTATTAAACAGATCAAAGATTTCAGAGAGGTCTGCAAAGTACGACTTACCCCAAATTGTGATTTACTTAATGAGATGGGGGAGAGACTATAATTAAACCAGGACACTGTTATTGCACCAAGACTTCATTTGTTCCCAAACGCGCAGTTCAGATATGCGCAGAGAAAATGTGAAAGGGAAAAGTGACATTTATTAAGCACCTATATTTGCCAGGGTTAAGAGTTTTTCATGCATTATCACATTTATTCATTCTTATAACCTCCATGCAACAGGCATTATTAACACTGTTTTGCAAATGAGGAAATAGATTCTAAGAGGAAGTAACTTGTCTAAGGTCATTCCATGTGTTAGCCCAGATAATCCAAGACAGGCTCAAATATACAAGGATTTTCTCAGGAGACATGCCTGTGTAGGAAGCAGAGGAAGGACGTCTGGGAGAGCTGACAGACCACGGTGCAGGCCTGACCGTGAGTAACGGAGCGAGGGAAAGACGGTTGGGTGGCAGTGTCCTGGAACGCCGTGCAGTCTAAGGAAGGTTCGGCAAGGCCATCAAGGAGTCTTACAGCCAAAATTGGCAACAAGTTCAGTAGTCTTAACATGCAGGTTATCCTGGAATTGAGGATAGAGTGTAATAAGGAAAAGGAATCTGTTCTGTTCAGCTTCTGACTTTAGGAACTGATCATTTTCAAAAGGTCAAGTTCTAATTGCAGTTGTAGGCATTTTACTGAGTGTAACTGTAGAACCAGGCTCTTCACTCATCTGACCTGTCCCTTATTTAATAGGTAAACCAGACTAGTTAATCTTTTTTCTCTTTTTAATATGTTTTTATTGATTTCAGAGAGGAAGGGAGAGGGAGAGAGAGATAGAAACATCAATGATGAGAAAGTCACTGATTGGCTGCCTCCTGCACACCCTACTGGGGATCGAGCCCACAACCCCGACACATGCCCTGACCGGCAATGGAACGGTGACCTCCTGGTTCCCAGGTCGATGCTCAATCACTGAGCCACACCAGCCAGACCAGTTAACCTTAACACGAATAAGCAGTTAAGACTTCGTTAAACTGAGAAACATTTCTGTCAAGGTTTATGGGGGAAGTAACCACATACCCCAAAATGTGTTCCCAAGTATTCGGTATGAGGTTTAAAAACACAAACCTCAAGGGAGCCCATAAGAACTAGATCCAGAAGATCAGTCATGTTTACTCTTATACTTCTGGATTGTAGAGTTAGTACTAGGCCTCCTTGGCCACACACACAGTCACTGGCTGGGAGCAGCCCCTGGGAAGCATGGCCTTGGTACGTGCAAGGAGGGATTCGTGAGCACAGTACTTTTGTCTTCAAGCCAGAATAAGATAGTACAATTATATCATGGCACAGCTGGGAAAGTAGATGTAATCCATGTAAACAAAAGTTATTTGGCATCCTCAATAATTTTTAAGAGTGTAAAGGGCTCTAAGATGAAAAAGTTTGAGAACCATTATTGTAGGGTATGCCAGGGAGCACTAGGCACTTTTGCAAACCACAATGTCAGAGAAACATCCCTTTTACTTTGATAGAAATAGTCATTTTTAACTTGTCTTTCCAATATTGTTGAGTAGACTAGCAGGCATCTACCTAAAATGGAAATCCAGAGGCCTTGACATCTGAGAGGTGGTCTTCCATGAGAGCCACACATAAAATAGATTATTATTTATCTAGTATCAATGCAATTCACTTAGTGAAGAGATGGGCATTCTAAGTTTTAGAGCACATTTATTACATTAACAGCTAGTTAGCAGTAATTTGACAAGTAAGTAGTAAGTAATCACTTAAGAACATTCAAGCTGACACAGTATTCTTTCCCCCTTTCCTGAGAAAGTGTTCATGTAGGTGTGTTGGAACTGATTCTCACACTGCTGGCCTCCCCGTCTGTAATAGTAATCATTACAACCTGCGTTTTCAGTGCTCCCATGATGCCAGTTCGAGGGGGTGCTGTATAAGCAAACAGATCTGTGTCTAGAGCAGAGGTCGGCAAACTTTCCGTAAAGGGCCAGATGGTAAATATTTTAGACTTTGCAGGCCATATGGTCTCTGTCCCAAGTGCTCAGCTCTGCCTTTGAAACATGAAAACAGACATAAGCAATATGTAAATGTATGAGTGTAGCAGTGTTCCCATAAAACTTTATTCACAAAAGCAGGCGGTGGGCTGGATTTGGGCCACGCACCATAGTTTGCCAACCTCTGTTCTAAAGCAATGTTAAATCTCTACCTGCTTTGCTGTGATTTAACCTTGTTCAAGTATGCCTACCTGAAAACTATTCCAGCCTGCGTTAATGATAGCAAATAAGCATCTACAGTGTACCAGGTGTCAGGAGTCTAACCTACGTCATCTCCAAAATGCATAACCATGTACCCATAGCAGGTATTATTATTTCCATCTTACAGATGAAGCAGAGTGAGGCAAATTAAACAACGTGCCCAAAGTCACAAGGTTAAGAAGCTGTAGAGTCCAGATATGACTCCAAATCTTTCAGGCAATCTTTTTAGTACCAATATTTTATTTTCAAGGTCACTGGAAGTAACACTGCTTCCTTTTCCATTCCAAACCTCAGCTGATATCTTATTGCCCTCTCACTTGACCAAATGTCTTTCGTATTGGACTAAAAAGGCAGAGTAATATAGCCTCCAAGTTATTAAAAAATTTCACTGTAGCAAAATTTCAGTAAAATATCCCTATAATTCATCTTATTGCACTGAACTGTCCCAAGGGCCATCTTAGTGCTGATAGTATAGCAAAGAAAGCTTAAAACTCCAGATTGTGGTCAAGTAACCACACAATTAGACCCAGAGTTGTTGTTTTTAAGCTAAGAATTTCTGAGTGTGCATGTAAGATATGTTTGAGCTTCTTATGAGTTGTTTGATTTCCAGAAATCAGATGCCTTCTTAATAGGACTCATCCCTAATACTTGCACAGTGCTCTCCAATGTGTCCTCATGCTTTCTCTCTTTTACTGATAATAATTATAGCAGCAACATTCTTTGAGTGCTTACCCTGTGCCAGGGACTGGACTCAACACTTCCCGTGCATTAGCTCCTCTAATTCTTCCACATTGCCACCAAGCAAAAGGTGATACCCTTCCATTTACGGAGAAGGAAACTGAGACTTGGAGAAATGAACTGTCTTGCCCCAAGTCATCCCTAGGGTGGAGTCAGAACTTGAAAGCAGTCCTGAGGCCAGTGTGCTGCATATTAGATTTTTGCTTACTTGAAGGCAGAGATTGTATCCAGCCTGTGTTTCCTTTATCTGTCCTCCTGATTACTCTGCTAACCCTAAATAGTATTTTAAAAGAGAGTGAAATAAAATAGAAAAAGCATTGCAATATACTAACGAGAGAAAAAATAGGATACTGAAGTGTATATAGAGTATCATTACAAATAGTTTTTTTTTTTTAAAGGAAGAAAAGAAAATTATGTCAAGAGTCTAGAAAAATATTTACCAAAATGTTACTGATAGTTACAGAATTATGGGTAAGATTATGGGCTCTCTTTTCCTTCTCTCTATTTTTCTCTATTTTCTGTTTTTAAATTTACATGGTGACATTTTAAAATTATCTAAAGGGGAAAAAACACACACAAACTGATAGAGTTCTTCCAATGTGGTCAACAATTTTTAAGTATAATTCACAAACATATTTCCTGAGGGATCAACAGTCCGTTTAAGGAGGCAAAGCCTGATGCTCCCAGAGAAGGAGCCAAGAGCACCTAGGAGTAAGCTAATGTGGCCCACATCCATTGGGAAAGGGAGGGAAAAAGGAGTTGCCAATTTTTTATGATGAGTGTTGAAACAGAAATAGGCTCCAGGGATGAGTGTCAAGTAAATGTATGGAGCTGGGAATCAGCTCAATGTGTCTGGGGGGGAAACTGGGGCCATTTGGGGGGAAAGCAAGGTCTGCAGGGCAGACTTATTAATGAAAGCAGCCATTGTGTGCTCTTGACAAGATTAAGGCACCTTCAGAAATACTTAGAGGGGAAGGGTATTTGCCAGCCTCTGGGCGTTGTGAAGTTTGGTGCTTAGTTCCTGGCTGGGTGGGGAGGGCAGCCAAAGGAAAGGTGATTATCCCACCTCCCATCGGTTCTCCTTAAGGTATCCTACGAAGCTTCTAGGAGGAGTCTTCGCTAAAAGCCATTATTATTTTCCTGCTCAAAATCCTTCTGTGGTTTCCCACTGGCCCTCTAGGCAAGTGCACGCACTTCAGATGAGCACTGAAGGCCCTCGCATCAGGGCGCTGGCTTTGCCAGCAGCGTCTCAAATTCCTCCCCTGCGCATCCTTGGGCTGCGGTGGAATTANTTGCATCAGGGCACTGGCTTTGCCAGCAGCGTCTCAAATTGCTCCCCTGCGCATCCTTGGGCTGCGGTGGAATTAAGCTACTTGGTGTGCCCTCTGTTTACTCTTCACACCTTCACCAGCCTGTTTCTTCCCTCCAGACGTCCTCCCCGCGACCCTGTTTTCCAGTCAAAATCCATCACTTCCACTCTCCTCTGTTATCCATTCATTCATTCATTCATTCGTTCGTTCTTCATATTAGCCCCAGGATGTGTTTACTTGTGTGCTTGTCTTACCACAAAACTAGACAGTTCATTGGAGGGTTAAGAAGAGTTTTTATTTTTCCTTAATATCCTAACATCAAGCACAAAGGCTCCATGATAAGGATATCCCCTTAGAATATTTTGTTGAGCTGAAGGCCACNTACTTGTGTCCTTGTCTTACCACAAAACTAGACAGTTCGTTGGAGGGCTAAGAAGAGCTTTTATTTTTCCTTAATATCCTAACATCAAGCACAAAGACTCCATGATAAGGATATCCCCTTAGAATATTTTGTTGAGCTGAAGGCCACCATGGCTCTAGGCTTTATTCTGCTTTGCTGCAATCTAGATTTCGCGGGGCNAGAGCAGGGTGAGGGCAGTCACCCCCTGAAATACATAGTAAGAGTGTCGTAACTAAGGCTATATTGCACAGAGAGCTTCCTATACCAGCTGTTCTTGTTGTTCATTCATTTATTTATCTATTAGTTCACATATTCAATAAGCGCTGTGTGCCACTAAAAGCTAGACACTATGGAACATGCTGAGGAAAATGCTAGAAATATAAAGGAAAATAAGACAGTTCCTCCTCCCTGAGAGTTTATAACCTGTTGGAGTGAAAAACAAGTTTAAAAGAAGGATATGGGTAGGTCTGCTTCTAGTAATAAAATACCTGTTTATTTTACATTATTATCCCACTGAGAATAATTATAAACACTGGATAAGATACAAGAGACATCTGTTCTAGAGTCCTTAGGCAGCCAAGATTTGAGGGGCCAGGAAACTGGAGAGAAGAAAAATCCATTGGGGTGAGTCAGACATTCGATGCAGATTTTCCACTCAAGGCTGACTCGTAAAAGACCTTGGCTAAAGAAGCTGGAAGCCGAGCAGAAAACTGCTGCTAAGAAAGAGAAGCTGGCAGAAGTTCTGGTAGTCTCATGAAACAGGAAGCAACACTGGCGTTCACGGCTACTGAGAGCTGTGGCTAGAGATCTGTAGATGCTTCAGAGAAGGGAAGTGGTCTAATAGTCTGAGTGACATCGCTCAAGACATTCACTAATAACAGCAGAGAGAAAAACTGAACAAAAAGCTGGAGCCGAGGGATTATGGAGATAAACAAAGCCTTTGAGGGTCTTCCAAATAAAATGGCATTAAGGGCTTGTCAAGGAGGATCAGCCCTCGTCACACTCAGTCCTTTAGTTGGAGCCCTTTAAGGACTATACCAAAGGAGTAAAGGAATCAGAAATAGATTGGACCTTTAAGGACTTTTGAAGAAATCAGCCTCTAAGTAACTCAATCCTAATTGGATTGAGGTGACTGCCTCTATTTTAACTGCTTGCCAGGAGCTAAAGATTCATCTAGAGCCATTATAATCCTCTTTACATAGTATCTAGTATTTAGTAAAAAATTAACAAACATACCAAGAGGCAGAACCAAGAAACAGATAAAGAAACAGACCCATAGGTGACCCAGATAGTGTAGACATCAGACATAGGCTTTATAATAACTGTTATTAACATGTTGAAGACGGCAGCTACATCGATTCTCAAAGAATCCTCACTTGAATTGATCTTTGAAGAATACTTTGGATCTCAGCCAAGTACTTACTTCTCAAAGGAGGTAGAGTTCAGAGCAGTTCTAGCCAAGGTTGGGGCACCGGGATGAAGAATGAAACGGAAGGGTCAAATCCAGGGGCACTTGATCCAGGGCTGAACTAGATGTTGTTTGTGTGGAGGAAGGGAAGCAACTCATTGTTGTTTATCTGTCTATTTTAGGATTTCTTCAGTAAATCTGACCCATTTCTGGAAATTTTTCGTATGAATGACGATGCAACTCAGCAGCTTGTGCACCGAACTGAGGTAAGAAGAGTCGTCTTCAGCTATGACATCATGTCTCCTAAGATGATAAATTGACCTGTTTTGAGAAACCCCTTACATTTCTTAATGTCTGTAGCTATGTACTCAGACATGGAGTCCTCACTGTTCTCAAGAGGACTCTTTATTCTCAATTTAGACGTTAGCAGAGAAGACCCTCTCTCACCCAAATTTTTCATTATTGACCAATGCTGACAGCTAGCAACTTATTAATAATAGAAATATGAATACTTGCTAATATTTAATGAAGGTGACTAGGTGCCAAGCATTGTACTAAGTGATTTTATATGCATTATTTTATCTACTTCTCACAACAGTCCCTTAATGCTATTATTAATTTCAGCTTGCAGTTGAATAAACTAAACTTTGGGGAGGTTGAGTCACTTTCCTGGTCCTCACAGTTAACAAGGGGTATGGCTCAAGTTCGAATTGAGTTTGTTTGATCTTGAGCTTCACTGTAATTTGGAAAGGCAACCTGCCTCCCCAGGGAAAGCTCATACACTGGCCTTATGTCAAGCCTATCATCTGAACAGCTGCCCTGTCTCAGCAGCCACTGGTCTAGCTCCATCTCTCTCTCACCTTTCCTCCTCTTTCTCCATGTGACTCCAAACCTTATGCCTCACTATCCAACCCCCCACTACCCACTACTACACCCCACTCAGCAACCAACCCCAATCTCTACTTTTTATTTTATTTTATTTTATTTTATTTTATTTTATTATATTTTAATTTTATTTATAAGCCAATCCAAGAGAGATTCTGTGGGTGGGAGGAAGTGGGGTAATTTTGATGACTGCCTTGGAGCTGAGAGAAGACTCTGTTGTGCTTAGTGGTAGCGTAAAGAAAGAAGGAACCCTCAGGACTCGAAGGATGAGAGTGAGGTGCCATGTTCCCATACCCCACACTGGAAATCCAGTTCCATTTTCCTGAAGTAACAGAGTTGCAGGTAGCATTAGGGGAACAGAACATGTCATACTTCAAGTAGAAAAGAATGGAATAGTCTTGAATGGGCTAGTCTGTGGATATCATCTAGTGCCTAGTTGGCACTTAACAAAATGTGTTTAATAAAACAATGAATAAATGAGTGGAGTTGAGCACAGACAGTGCGTCCACTACATGTTATAGCAAAATGTGGTTCTCTGGAACTTAATCCCTGGGGAATAGATGGAGGTACAATGGGAACAGTTTCCCCACCATTGAATAGAATGTTTTCACCCATAAAGATTCCTTTTGTGGAACAGACTTTTTTCAGAAGTAAGTAGACTTTGGGGAGAACAGAAGTGGTGCCCACTCAAGCTTTCACTGTAGTCTGTGAATGGAGGCCTTAAAGTGCAGGGAGCACAGAGATGGATGGGGTACTGCTGGACTTCTCTCCCAAGATCCTTCTCTCCTTTGCTCCTGACAGCATTTCTCTTCTCATTCTTGATATTGTTAAATCCTCCTAGTCCCAAGAATCACTAGAACTCCCCCCCAATTCCCAATTGCTGAGGGGTTCCTGGAGTCTCACAAGAAATGCAATTGTAAGCTTTTCCAGTGAGTCAAGCAACATAAAACATTGATTTTTTTTTCCTCACCAGAATGCACGCAAACACATTTTTAATTTCAGAAGCAATTTCTAGTTGAAATCTTGACTTGCTATTGAGTTTTTCAAAACTGTTGCAACAAGACATCTTTAATTCTTGGTATTTTTATATAAAGATGAGAACTATGAACTAACCCAGACAATTTTATCAGACTTCTCTGGTCACTATCACTTTGACCATCCCCAGGGTATCAGAGCTCAAGACAAAGTCACACAGGACCTTTATTTTTCTACTTTAATGCATTAAGAGAAATTTCATAATGAGTCCGTGATATAATGAATAATTCACAGTTATAGTAAAGAATCCAGTAGAAAAGAGAATCACTTATAAAACAATTACGTTATTTGGATAGAGAATTAATTTTTTTTACGATGCTACGACTTTTGCTAACTAAAAACTCCATAGGAAGAAAAATCAGTATGACAGAATTCCATTTAAGTTCATTGACATGTCCCCTAGAGCAGTGGTTTCATGCATCCGAATCACCTAGGGGGTCCCCACTCCAGAGTCTCTGTCCATAGGTCTGGGTGGAACCTGAAAATTAGCATTTTTAACAAGTTCCCAGGTGATACAGCTCCTGCTGATTCAGGAATCACACTTTGAAAACCCTTGCACTAGAGTACACAGTAGTGTTAGGCACAGAGCAGATACTCATACATTCTAAAACAAATTGAATTAGTTGAATCATAGTGGTGACAGGATAAGACTAGACTCATATGGACTCTTGGGCAGGATTTAGCCAAGTTCATGATGAGTAAGCTGCTTTTAAAAGTATTTCACTGTAGAAGAAAGTGACACTGAAGATCTGAAGATCTTCCCTGTGTCTGTCTTCCTAGGATAACTAGTTTAAGTATGCTCCTGGGACTTTTCTTCTAGAAATTTCTCTTCTGATTTGTTATCTCATCTAACTCAAGGTCACAGTTACCAAAGACCATTCAATTCTTAAGCAGTAGAATTGTCCTGCTATACCCCCATGCCCACCAATAGTCTTTGCCTATGCTGACTTCAATAGAAGAGAATTTATGCCATAGGACTGACAGTCCTACAGAACAAGGGATCTTTTATCAGAGGCCAGAGGCAGTCCAACCTCATTAATTCCAACTCCTTTTGATATAGAACAAGTCATCCCCAGCATCCACATACTGGACAGTATTACTGTCATTATTCTTGAAATGACAGCCAGGCCAGTGATCTCAGGAGTTCTGCCCATAATGACCACTTAGTGGACACCATTAAAAGATTTACTACTCTAGGTTTTCATTAAGGCACCAGTTCCAAACAATTGTCCTTTTCAAAGTGCCACAATGTTTCTCAAGCATTTTTATGTTAAAATGTGAAAATGTCAAGCCTTTTTTCCCCCATCCACCACTCCTCTCCTTTTTTCTTCTCAGGTTGTGATGAATAACTTAAGCCCAGCCTGGAAATCATTCAAAGTATCCGTGAATTCCCTGTGCAGTGGAGATCCAGACCGCCGGCTGAAGGTCAGAAATCTATCTATGTCTGAGAAATGCAATTTTTATGTATTTAACCCTCCTTTCTCTCAAGTGAATGTTAGCAAACCAAAAATTTTCTGTACCATTTAATCAAATCTCTTAGCACCTTTTTGGAAAAAACAGGGGCCATTTCTTCTGCGACAGCCATTGAAGCTCACGAGATAGCCCAAGATAAATCTCAATTTTGTTATGTCAAGAGGCAAATCTTATGCTTCTCAGAGATAAACTGTGGCAATAACTTCAGGGTGTAATGGGGAGTTATTAAAAACACAAATACTACTGTATTGACTATCTACAGTTGCATAATGGACTACTCCAAAATTTAGTGGCTTAAAATAATAACCATTTATTTAGCTTAAAATTATTTGTCTTTGGCAAGTTGAGCTCATCTAGGACGTTCTTCTGTTGGTCTTGCTTGGACTCCCTCACACATAGGGAGACTCTACTTCTGGAGTTCAGTTGGCTGTCATCTGGAATGATTGGGGTGGTTAGGCCATGTGTCTCCCATCACCCAGCAGGCTAGCTTGGCCTTATACACAGAGCAACCTTAAGATTCCAAAAGAGCAAGAACAGAAGCTGCAAGGTCTCATGAGGCCTAGTCTTAGAACTCATACATGGTCACTTCCTCTGCATTCTGCTGGCCAAAGCAAGTCACATGACTGTCCCAGATTCAAGGGATGAAGGAATAGGAAATACGTTCCACCTTTTGGTGGAAGAGCTACAAAGTATTGTGGCTAATTTTTTGAGCCTATCACAAATGCATTTTGAATACCATAGGAATGTGGAAGTTGGAAGAAAAATGCATTGTGAGAGTCAGGATGACCAAAGGAAGACAATAGGCTGAGTGCCAGAAGCAAACTCCAAGAGGCATTGCCTATGGTCCATGGTCTGTCCCTCTCTCTGCCTTGGTAATCCAGAAGCTGGGACATATTGTCAGTGTCCCAGAGCTGATTCTACCAATTTAAGATGACTAAGTAAATTCAAGGGAGACCAGAGCCTATAAGGCTGATTGATTCATGTTCAATGAGAAACATGACCATCAAGCAGACTTAACATTCACTTCAGCTTCACCAGGGCATTTTCTCCATGTGATTAAACCATAGGGCAGACAATTGTCAGAAGGTTGCTGTGATAGCCTGAAAGCAAAGCCAGGGATGCTAGATAATGTCAATGGCTAATGGCTTCAGGCTCTAAAAGCTTGGGGCATCTGTCTCCACAATAGGAACATAGGTCTATTAGGCAGACTAAACATTCATGTTGGTCTTTCAGGGCACCTTATCCCATGGGCATTGCCAGTGTTTGCCTTGGAAACTTTATATTTTCTTCTCTCTTTTGCTCCATAAATCGTCTTCCTTCTCTCCCCACCACTGGATCATTTTGAAGCAAATCCCAGATCAGGACAGACGCATCCCTTAGGCACAACAAACATAGTGCCAGGGACCATGATCATTTAGGAATCTGTGAAAATGTTTTAATTGCTTTTAAAGTCAGAAGGAAAAAAATGAACTTGTAAGATTGAATAAAATCTTTTCATTTTTCCTCACATCAGAAAACTGACATTTTTAGCATCCCAAAATCTATTGTAAGAGGAAGCCCATGAAGGCAAAAGTATCTAAGGCCAACAAAAGTTATGATGTGGCCCTACCCCAACCAAGCATCATCTCATTTCATCCAAAAATACGCCAGTATGCATCTCTAAAGGCTAAGGAATCTTTCTATAAACAGCCACAAGCCCGTCATCGTATCTAAGAATATGAGCTAAGCTTCCTATTAATCAAATATTTTGCGACTATTCCCATGTGACTGATTGTCTAATTTATTAAAATGTTTAGTTTTTTTTTTTTAAATTGGGATCTAAACAAGGTTCAAGCATTGCATTAGACTGAAATGTCTCTGAAGTTTGTTTTAATCTGTTAGTTGCCTTTTCCTCTTTTTTTTTTCTTGCACTTTACTTATTGAAGAAGCAAGGTTGGTTGGTTCTGTAGCATTTCTCACATCCCATGTTCCCTGTAAACAGCTAGTTGGAACCTGATCAGCTCCGGGGTCTCCCTTCCAGCAGCAGTGCTTTATACCTAATGGTGCTCTGCTGTGGTGTTAACAGTCACGGAGGAACACTGTCCAGATTCGTCATTTTGTAATGGTTTCCAAAATAGTGTTTTTGCAATTCTATCATTTCCTTGTTATTTATTATTTAGAGTTCTTCTGTAAAGAAAGACTTTTCCTTTAATAACTATTTGGTCTCTGAGGTATGGTTTGTACACAAAAGGCAGAAATATGACTTATTTTTTCCTTTTTACCAATTTTCAGAATAACATGTTACTTCTCTAGTATCCTCCATAGGGGCCTAGTGCAGTTTCTCAATATTATTAAGAATTCATGGATTTTTAAAATGTACTTGAGTATTTCAACTCCTTTGAAAACTTGAATTGTCTCATGTGTGACCAATGAAAACCCCTTCAAGTTGGCTCTTGAGTTCTTTTGATATAAAGTTAATAGTGTTTAATACTTTCCTTGCTCTCTAGTATGAATTTTTAAAGTCATAATCTTTAAATTATTTTTCATCCTAAGTTATATCTCTCTATAGATGGTGAGTCATATTTTAAAATCTTGAAAGAATTCTCCATAGTTAAACCTCTATCAGGTTCCTTTGTTTCCTTTTGCTTTCATTTTTTAGGATTTATTTTTCCAATTCTAATTTTGTTCTATAATTATATAAAACTTCACATGATTCTAAAGTCGAAACTACAAAACAAGGTACACTCAGGAAAGTTTAGCTCTCATCCCTGTCTCTTCTCTTTTTACTCTCTGCCCTTACAGGTAATTATTTTGTAGTGCACTTGCATACCTGGTAGAGCTAGCACCTTAGATACTTCTGTATTCCTCATCTTTTTAAGGGTTTTCCTGGATACTTAGCTTCTTTGTTCTTTCTATTTAGCTTTAGAAATAAACAACTAGCACCAGAGAAGACAAGAAATTTGATGGCATTTTTATTGGGATTGCAAAATAAATTTTTTTTAATATTGAGTCTTTCCATTCCAGAACATGGCATGTTTTTCCATTTAACTCATGTCTCCTTTTGTGTTTTGCATGAGTACTGTTTTCTCGTATAGGTTTGGAATGTTTATTTTTAAGTTTATTCCTAGTTAGTTTCTTCCCTTCCCCCTCCTCCTTACTTTGTTATTGTAAATTGGGTCTTCCATTTACATTCTAACTATTGTTTGTATACATAAAAGCTGTTGAATTGTTTTCTTAAATTACCATTTTATTAAGTCCTATTATTGTTTATAGTAATTTTCTGTTAATTTTTTGGAGTTTTCTGAATATGTAATTATATCATCTGTAAGTACATAGTGTTTCCCCTCCTTACTTAACTAAGGGGTCTAGTTATTTCTCTTCTTTAATCGTGTGGCCAATACCCTGCTAGATAGTAGTGGAGATAGAAGGCATCCTTGTCGTATTCAGCGCTACAGTAGAAAATCCTACAGCGCTTCCCCATTAATTATGACAGATTAATTTTTTTAAGTAGATCTGAAGGTGTCAAAGGCTTAGAGCTTTCTAAGCCTTGTCTACTGAGCCTCAAATACCTGGTAGCATTCAGAAAGGATTCTTCTTTGTTATGACTACCCAAAGACAATGCTGAAACCTGCTGAGATGCCTTCTGAACCATGTGAAAGACCTTGCACTACTTCCTGAATAGACTTAAGTTTATATTTAAAATTAACGATTCAATGAAGTGATCCATGGTTTCCATGGCATACTTGAGTCTTTGTCAAAATCATAATTTTATTTCTAATCATACAATGAGATAAGCTCCATTGTCTTCATTCCACAGATGAAGAAACGGAGGGTCAAAACCCTATGCAGTTGAACGCCAAATTTAATGCTTTTTATTGAATTGTGCTGCCTCTATTTTGTTGTATTTATTAGAAAACAAATCATCCTGATAAAGCATATCCCTTTACTCTGACCCAACCAGAATGTTTATTTATCATCATTCTAATATTTAACAGAAACAAGACTTGTCAATATGTAACATATTTCATAAAGCCTGGAAAACTGTCAATTATTTAACATACCACTAAGGGAAAAACTACTCAACTGTAATGGAAAAATCAATCAATAAAATAAAAAGAAAGCAAGTTCACTTCCATCTCTACCTACCTTACAATTGAAAGGGGGAGGGGGGGGGCTTGCATGGTTACTGTCCTGTGAAGTTTTCTTGAGATATGTTAAAATTCAAATGCTTTCTTTCTGGCCTTCTGGACTCGAGGGCTGCTGATTTCGTGCCTGTTGATAGTTCACTCTGTCTAAATGCCCTGCAATTACCCGAGGATTGCAGACTCATCACAGCGTCTCTATAGCGGATCAGCCAAGGCACAGGAATTCTTGACTCTGCTTAAGTAAATGGCACCTGTGAGCCCAGCAGCCTGTCTCTGCTGAGAGCTGTGATCAATACTGCAGCATGGAAAAGCAGTAACCAGCTTAAGTAGCATTAAATCACGCAAGAATAGAGGAGGCTTCTGAATGAGAGAAAACCTACATATTGTCCTAATTTTAATAATTGTTTCCTTTTCATTGATATTATCCCCCCCCTTTTTTTTTTCACAAATGAGGAATTCTCTGTGGTTAAGCAAATTGCCTAAGATTACACAGCTAAGTCGCACAGCCTTAGTTTAAACCGAGGTCTCATCCTCTATAGGCCTTGCTGTTAACTGTTAAAAGACAGTTAACATTTACTGAGCATGCACCAACTACCAGGTACTATGCCAGACACTGCTTAAATCATCTCATTTAACTTTATAATCATCTTTGGTTAAACAATTCTGCAGTAAAAAAAAAAAAGAGCCCCATGCAATGTAAGTTTATTTCTTACGTAACAATCAAAGGGAAAACTTTCCCATCAATGTCTGCCTCTCCTCCATGCAGTGACTCAAGAATCTTATGGCTTCTATCTCATGGCTCATCCATAGCTTAGGGCCTCGTTGTTA